TTGCCTGCTGTTGTGGAAAACAACACGATGAGGTCAATGAAAGTAAATACGAAGCTGAACTAAACAATGAGTCGTAGTAACACAACAGTGTCGGTAGTTATGTGCATGAAGCAGAGGAAAATAGGACCAAAGCATAAAAAGAAACTTGATGCAACGCTCCGTAAAGATAAATGGACAGATTCTGCTTTAAAATACCAAATTATAAATGAATGTGTTGTAATTATTTCAGCTTTGAATTTTAGTAATAATATGACAGAGACCCAGCAAAACAGAAATCCAATTAAATCGCATAACGACTGTATGTTTTTTATTTGTTTCTTTTTTGGTAAAGTGATCAGCATTAAAAGGCCTAAATTGAAGGCATTACAACATTAATTTTGTTAATTTAAATCTTTATTTCATTCATTGAGTTAACACAAAACAATTAAACAAACGTTCCTAACTCCTGAATGAAAGCAGCAGAAAGAAGAATAATCAAAGAAATACATTTACAAAAAACTTAAATGACAAAAACAACAACAACACAATAAACATCAAAATATTCACTAAAAAAACAATAATAATAACATGAATTGATTGAATTTCCCTTCTGGGATGAATAAAGTATTTTTCATTTCATTTTCATTTCATGAACTAGCTGCCCTTCAGAGCTGATAGTTTACTTTAGATGCATTTTCTTTAATACTCTTTTTAAAAGAAATCAGAAAGTTTGACATGATTATTCACTCGTCTTAATTAACATATTTCCTCAACATACTGACTTTAATTGTTCTTTTAAATGTAAGTATTGATTTGATTCTTTGGTTTCTTTGTTCATAATCGGATTCCTTTCACAGAAACACAAAGCTCCGTCACTTTTGGTCTGAATCTGTATGTTTTAAAGATCTCAGCTCCTTTTAAATCACACCTACTTTCACTTGTTCAAATCTTCTCTTAATATTTATTGGTAATGTTTTTTTTAATGTGCTTTGAACATTGTTTGTAAAACACTATAGTCGACTAATTCATGAAATTTTAACTTAAAACACAGTGGATTTGTTGCCTCTCTGTGTCGTTTTCTACTCATTATTCTTATGGCTCAAAAAAAATTGATTGAATCTGTGTTTTACGAACACAAACTGCCTTCTACACGATGGACATTTCTGTCTCTTACACCATCCGACCAGCTCTCGGCCTTTTTACAGTATTTTTACGCAACTTCTCTCACTTATTATTTTTTCATGACCGCTCTGTAAATCTCAGCCCAGCGCTATCTGTATGTCTCAACCCAGTCTTTCTCCGTTTCTTTTAAAAACTAATTTCTTCGGCGACAGACCCGACCACCTTTATTCCTCTTTATTCCGTCTACATTTTTCACATTTTCTGGTCTGAAGTGGATTACAATCCTGTGATTTGTGGTCAGACGCTCCTCTGTTCTTGGAAAAAAAAAAAAAGGAGTCTCGCTTTAATTGCAGCATTTCTCTGCTCTGCCGACCTTCATTCATTTTCTCTCTGCCTGCTCGTGTTTTTCTTCTCTTCGGACCAAACACGACTGAACTGTCTTTGGAAACTTTCCTCGTGCTTCTCGACATGTAACAGATTACTGTCTCGGTTCAGCTCCTCCTGTACCGACGACTAAAGTCCATGCTCTTGCAGTCCTTCTCTTTCTCCCCTGTGTGAGCGTGTTTTTCTTTTTCTTTTTTTCTTCTCTCTCCTTTTTTTTTTTTTTGGGTTGGAGGAGGGGAGGTT